ACAATGCCTTGGTACTTGGTACCTGACGTTCGGAGCCTGTCTCTGTTGCTGATTACCAGGCAGCCCTAACTGACAAAGGGTTTTGTTTTGTTTGTGGCACTTGGAATTGAACCCATCCTCGGCCATGCAAGGAAGTGCTCTGCCACTGAGCTACACTCCAGCTCACACCATATATCTAGAGACATGCTAAAACAAATACTGCCACACTTCTTTCTTACTGGTTTTGACTTAGAAAATAGCTATTTTTCATTAAAATATCATTTATGTTCACATGAAATGGGTTTACCATTTTTAAATAAATGAGTTAGTATCTGCAAAATTTTAAGTTTTCATTCCCAGTACAGAGAATACCGAAGCCTGCAAGAATCCATCATAAACCCACTTTCAGTGAGCGAGAAGAACACACAAGTAATGGCAAGATAAGCACTTGCTTCTAACTTCCTCCATGAGATGCTGTTGTTCTGGGTGTAAGAAAAGTGTCCCCTAAAGTCTTCCAAAATAATTCAGGAGTTTACCACACAAGACAACTAAGAGGTGGACACCATAAGAACTCTACCAAGAGAGCACAAAGTGGACAGAGACTGCTGGGCCGCCACCATTCCATCAGGGTCTCCTCACTGAGCAGAGCACCTTGGCCCCCGGCTGCCACTCATGCACATGTGGTGACAGGCCTGCCGGGCACGTGGATGTCCCTGGAGCTGGAGCCAGTAACTCCCAGATGCACTGTTAATGACCACCTGCCTCCATTACATTAATAGGAGAACTCCCCCAGGGGTTCTGAAGTCAACTTTTTAGACTGGTGAAAGGTGGTTCTGACTGAACAGGATTCTCCACCTGCAATTCTGGGGTCAGACAGGGTCTAAGCTCCTTTCTGTAACGAGGACTAACTTTTAATTAAAAGTCTGCTCCTGAGGTCGAAGATTTAGCCCAGTGGTTCTGCCGCCTGCTTCGCAAGAGCAAGGACCCGAGTTCAATCCCTGGTACCAAAAAAAAAAAAACCCCACAAAAAGTCTGCTCCTGGTGGCACATGTCTATAATCCCAGCACCAGGGAGGCTGAGGCAGGGATTGCCGTGAGGGGCTACATAGTGAGTTCAGGGCCAGCCTGTACTACAAAGCAAGATCTCGTCTCAAAAAACAAAACAAAACAGGCCCAGGGATTTAGCTCAGTGGCACCGTGCCTGCCTCACTAGTGCAAGGTCCTGAGTTCAATCCCCGTACCAGAAAACAAAACAAAACAAAGTCTGTTCCTTTACTGACAGAAAGGATTTTGTGTCACTTGGATGTCTTTCTGTCTGCATCTCTGCCACAGGAGACTAGAAGGCCAAAGTGACCAGTGTGACTCCTGAGCACTGGAAGAATCCTGCTGATGGGCCTCCACCCACTCACTGTGCCCAGTGGGTCCTGCCCACTCTGCCCACGCAGCCCGGTGCCTGGGCTCCTTATCGCCTGTCTCTCCCTGACAGTTGCCCATATTCCTCAAGTCCCCTGATTCATCTCATATCAGGCCAAGGTCAACTGGGTTTTAAAGAACTCTAGGGAAGAGTGATGGTTTCACTTGATCCTGGGGGAAATCGCTCTTCACTTGACTCAGCCCAAAACTCCAAGAAATGGAGAAAAGACAAAAGAAGCCATGTCTGGTTTTTCTTCAACTACAGATTGCCGAAGACTCATTATGAAATTAGGTGTGAAGAAGGGAAACAAGTTAAGGAGGAAACGATGCGTTTCCTTCCGGCTGTGGAAGGAGCAGGCCATGTGCTCGGCACCTGACACAGGACATGGCACACACTGCGTCGCTTCCCTTCAGCTTGGTCCTCCACAGAAATCACCCACATGACACAGCCAGCCCACGGCCTTGGTGGTGCTGCTGGCTCTGTGATTGGGGCTGTTCTCAGACTGATCTGCCCACACAGGGATAATAATGTTTACAGTGCCTTGCCGGGGTAATTAAAGAAGGTAATAAATGTGGAAGTACCTGTCAGCATGCCCAGAGCCTAGCTAAGGCTCAGTAAATATTTGTTTATTTCCCGTATTTCAATTAGTGCATGACACATTCTCGAGTTTGCCAAGAATGTCATTTTCCAGGCAAAGGCTTCTGCAGACCTGGTGATCTAATCTGGTCATGAGCACGTCCACGCCTGTGCGTCTGTCTTGGGCTCCAGGCTGCCACCCACCCATTTCTCCTCCGTGGCCCCATCACATGTGGTTTTCACAAATCTGACCTCAGTGGGCTCCCTTGGTCTAGATTCTGCTCCTTTCAGAGCCTTAGCCCACGCACAAGAACGCTGGAGGCGTGGGCCAGAATGGTCCCCATCAGGCAGAACCAGGCCTGAGCTTATCTTCCCTGCCTGCCAAGTGCCTATCAGAATCCTAACCACTCGGTGCATACAGCACTGGACTCACGGGCCAAAGACCCATGTTCAAATTCCTGCCCTGACACTCACTAGCTGTGTGGCCACCAGTAATTCACTCCTAAAAGCCTCAATGTATTCAGCCATGAGAGGTACAGGGCCAGCGTCAGTCACGAGGGCCACACGCTCACCCTCTAGTCCAAGGAGTGGACAATCCAGCACCCATTCCACCTTCCTCGAGGAGGAATGGCTGGGGTGGGTAAGTGGGCCCGAGAACACCGGGTCCTCACTGCTAGGAGATGGAGACTGAGGGCTGGTGCCACAAACAGGACAGAACGTAAGAAGACACCCTCTGCTCCACCTGGCCCTTCCCACTGCACCTGTGCTCTCACAGGGCCAGGCAGGTACTGGACAGGGAGGGACGTGGAAAGAAGCACAGCACACCCAAGGAGAGTGATTCCTGCTTGCTGCAGGTGCCCCTCTTCCCACTTAGCAGTGAGAGCCAGAGGGAGAAAACCCATGGTCCAGCCTGGGAGGAAAAGTGCAGAAGTGCAGAAGCCAGGCCAGCCCATGAAGAGGCAGAATGCACACTTAGGGTCACATAGGGCCCTGACTAGCTCACTGCAGGACAAGCAAGGCAGACTGAGCTGGGGACTCAGGCTGGAGTGGCCATAGTAGTTTGCAGGTCAAAAGTGAAGGTTGGGATTCTGGCTATTTTGTATGCATTTTTAAAAACAGTGGTAAGAAAAGTAACAAAATTTACCATCTATTTTCCAGTGTGTAGTTTACCCATTCTCCTTTCCCGTCTCTGTGACCCCGACTTTCCAGGGGAGGGGAGGTCAGGCCTGGCTGTTTCTATATGGGGTCACCACTCCTAAGTCATAGCATCTGCAAGTGGACATGAGAGGTCTGGGGAGAGGGCCACCCAAAGGAGACCCACTAGGAAGCACAGCTCAGGAGCTGCGCTTCCTCCAGCCAAGGAGCCACAGTCACCATGTATACATGTGAACTGCCACCCACTCTCAGAAAGGACCAAGGAATGGCATATGAACAGATGACTTTTAGAACTGGCACTGGTGGCTGACCCACTGTTACTCTGGAAGTGCATGCCACCAAAAGCTAGTATCAACAGCCAGTGGTTGCAGCAAACACCCCTATCTTCCAGGCACCCCAGGTGGAAATGTGCACAGGACTGAACTAGAAATACAAGACATTATCAGCTGGGCCTGTGAATCCAGTTCCCAACACAGCGTTCCACAGCTAAGTGAGACCGTGTGGGGATCGCCCTTTCCCTACATCAGTGGCAACCTTGAGCTTGAGACCTAAGATACTGTACTGGTCCTGAATCTTTGATCTTACCTCCCACGACAAAGAAGTCTGGCCAAGGGTTCCCAAGGCAGCAGAGGAGGCTGGAGCCAGAGAGAGGAGAGACAGCATTCACCCTTTCACCACAGCACACTTGTCCCCATCTTCCAGCCTCTTTTTTGTGTGTGTGTGCAGTACCAGGGATCGAACTCAGGACCTTGCACTTGGTGAGGCAGGGGTGGCATCACTGAGCTAAATCCCCGGCCCAGTCATCTTCCAAATAGGATGGCTGCCTGGAAATGAACTTAGTGGGGTGTCTGGCCAGATTCAGGAGCAGCCGGTGCCCTAGCACTCGGCCAGGAAAGAGGGAAGACACCACCCATCCACGTGGGCTCAACCCTCCAGGCTGGCTGTCAGACCTGTGAGGGCAGAGGCCACTGAAAAGCCCCTTACCTCACTGACCAATTCTCCTCCTTGGGGTGGGGGTGAAGTCAGGGAAGGGAGAAGCCCAAGCCTGAGAAATTCACCTCTGGCAGTGGGAGAAAGAACACAAAGTCACATGCTCCACTGGAAGCTGACAGTGAGAAACACGGGCTGTCCTTTCGCTTGCTTCCCAGCTACACATGCAAGGATGCTCAACTCATGATCTATGAGATCCACAGGAGAACCAGACCATATTCAGCAGTGATCAGATGAGACAAACGCTGTCTTCCTGAGCTGAGTGAGGCGGGAGTAATCATTAAAAGATGATCACAGACCCAAAAGCTCAAAAGAAAAGAAAGGAAAAAGAAATGCTTGTGCTGGGATCATGACCGCTCTCAGCCCCAAGTCTGCACAAAGACTGACAGAAACCATAATCCCCTGAGGAACACGACTTTCTGGAACTCATATTTAGGGAAAAGGCCTTGCTCAGACTTTGGACAAAACACTAGAAACTCTTGGAGTAACAAACCAGCTTTTAAAAAGTTTTGCTATCTGGATGCAGACAAAAACCATGAGGAAGAAGAAAGGATGGTCTGAGATATAGGACAACTCCAAGACAGGAAAATAGGGTAAGGAGAGTAAAGCTTCAACAGCCAGCAGGTGATGTGAAGAAAATGAAGCCCCAGAGGAAAGAGGAGAGATGAGACAAACAGGTTTCTGCCAACCAGAGAGGAAGATGGCCCACGTCTAGGAACTCAAAGCCAGATGAAGGCAAGTCCAAGAAGAACATGAGACCATCAGAGCTGCTTCTTCACTGGACCCAAAGGCTCTGCTTAGCAGAAACTCCAGAGATGGCTTTGGCTTACAGTATTCCAAGGGGATTCTGCACATGGGACAAACAGTGAAACAAAGGGGAAACTCACCACAGTGACAGGAGTCAGAAACCCCAGGACATTCCAGAAGAGGCAGAGGTGGGCACAGCAGCTGCAGGGCTGTCGGAGCCTGGGTCCTGCTGGGTGGGAGAGATGCAGAGAAGCAGAAAGTTCACATTATGGAGCGCTTAGGAGCACAGTGCTGGAAGAACTGGCTCTTAGGGATCGTCCATCCAGCTCAAAAAGCAGGGCAGACCCTTCTTACAAGTGGAGTTTATATAAATATATGGGACTTGAAGGGTAGAAAACCAAAGAAGAGATGAGAATATTCGAGAAACCACGGGAAAAAAAGCCAGCAGTTCGCACAAACTCCCTCCAAGGCAGAGGAATTCTAGTCTCACAAGGGCCCCAACAGGAGCTTCGACCAAACAGATAAGGTTCACAGGTACTGGAGCACTGACCTAGGCCGGACAGAGTCCCAGGGAGGGAAGTTGGCAGAGGCTCTGACCAACTCTCTGGAGACAAGGCAGACAGCACGCGTTCATACCCTGGTCTTTCTCCCTCAGCTCTGCTGTGTAACCTGCACCCAACAGTCACAAAGGGAGCACTTAAGACAGGAAAGCCACAGGCGAAGAATTAAGCCAGTCAATGCGAGAGTACTTACAATGCAGCCTGCAAGTCTGGAGGGCTCGAGGCAGACGAGCTATCATTCTCATCAGTTTATTTATTCTAGCTATACCTTTTTCCCTCTGCTATAACTCCGTAACGACTCTGTAGTTTGGGTATACTGTAGATACCTGGGTCTATTTTTTAATATAATTATTAGTGCATAGTAATTGTACAAAATAATGGGTTTCACTGTGATGTTTCTGTATACGCCTATAGTATACTTTGATCACTGCCACCCTCCCATTACTGTCTCTTTCCCTACCATCAAGGTCTATCTTTAAGTTTGGGAACTCACTCTTCCTTGGAAGGTACGTGATCTATCAAAGAACTCAAGTATCAAACTGCTGCCAGGTTTACATTTGGACAGGGCATTGACTCATTTTCCTAAATGTAAATGCGGGGACAGTTCTGAGTCACTCAGTGTCTACACAGCTCCCAAGAAGTTTTGGGGAAAGGATTACACTAAAGACATAAGGTTATAACCATCCAACTTGCTCACCGCTATCTGAAGTTGCAATGCTTTTGCAGCAACAAGGCAGCTCATAGGATATATTTCAAAGAATAGGAATACATGTGGAAGAATTTAATTAAAATGGGTGATATTGGGCCAGGGGGTTTCTTCCCTTCTAAGGACCACAATCATGCCCCGAGAGTCCACAAATCCTACCAATGGGAACTCCTCAGCTTTCGAGGTGGACCTAGGCTGCCACTGGCCACATGACTGGGAACAAGTGCGACCAGCAGACCCAAGAGCTGACCTGTGATCTAGAATATGGCTGAGAACAGTAACAGCAATGACAAAACCAGATTCCTTGTCTCTCAGGAATCTAAACAATCTTAAGAGAATGAGGTTGTGAGAAACGAAGCTGAATATACAAAGAGACTGTAGAGGGCACCAGAAATCACAGCAAACCAGGGTCATGAGGAAGCAGAGAAAAGACAGAGTAAGACAAAGTGAGTCGGGTGGCAGCAAGAGAAGACGGACACAAGAGACAGATGCTGGGAGAAACCCCTGTCCCTGGGGAGGACTGACCTGACTCCACGGCCGGTCCTTGGTAGTTCCCTAGTCCACATGCACCCTACAGCACAGCCCACTTTTTCTTAAGCGCCACGTCCATCTGTCCCTGCGATGCAAGAGCCTTCCTTCCCTCTTAGGGTGAAGATTGCCCAGAAGGCTCCTCAGCCCCACAAACAGGCAGGTCCTTGGCAAGTCCCCTCCACCAGATACGCCCAGGGGTACCCACTATCTGCCTCCCCACAGGGCGGGAATGTCTTTTCCCAGGGAGACAGGCATAGTCCCTACGGCTCGTAGGACCTCAAAGACCCTGCAACTGTTGGAAACCCAAGAAATGATTTATTGATTGGAAAATATGAAAAGAGATTTGCCAAATCAGTTAATAAATATTGAATGCCTGCAAGTAGTCGAATGAAGCTTACCTCACGGTTTCACTGTGTGGGAAGCAGTGTGATATAAGGTCTTCACACCAGTCCCAGCGTGGCGGACACATCTGGGTTCCGGCTGCCCTGGAAGCACCCTTATTTTACCGAGCAGGCTGACTCAGAAACCACTCTTATACACTCTGTACTGGCACATCAGTGCTTCTGGGATTAGGGGTTTATTATCTTGGCTTAAATAGTTTTAAGTAAAGCCAACTAACTTCTGTTAGCCATCTGATTAGCTGTACCAAAAAATTAAATGTCATTCATGAGCGTAAATGGTCCTGTACATTTAAAGGATTTAACTTTCCAAATTTGCCAGAATAACAAATCAAAAATTGGCCACATCCGTTCTTCTGCAAGAACTCCCTCAACTGTCACAAACAGACCTAAACACTCTCTTCCACTGGGCAGTTCAACCTGAAAGAAGCAGGAAGTAACTTAGGTCACTTACACCCGGAGACAATCCTGTTAAAAATAAACTGAAACACCATCATTTCCCTGGCCACCGGGGCCCGCAGCAGCCTGCAGGGTGTACGAACGTACGTCCAGGCAGCTCTGCGAGCTCACCCTGGCAGCGGAGGCACCCGGGCCCTTCCTCCACAGCCATTCTGCAGTCCTGCTCGTCGCCATCTCCCTCCTTAGGTCTCCAGGCCGCCCGCACATCCTGCTCTTGGACTCAGTTTATCCCCTCCACCCCCATGTTCTCCCTCCTTCTCTGGCCTTGACTGCTGCTTTTATTCTTCCTTTTACTCCTTCCAGAAGTGTGTCCGACTCCTCTCTAGCTCACCAGACGATGGTAGTGCATGGTGAGAACTCCACCCCCTCTCAGCTACCTCAGTCTTGCTTCCAATCTGCATCTCCAGCTGCCCGCAGCGGCCCCACAGTCCCAGACAGCGAAGTATCGAGGGCATCACTTCCCCACCAGCTCCTGGGAGGGGTGGCCAGAGCCAACCCTCTCTCTGCCCACACCCCCACATCTCTTTCCACGTGCGCCCTGTCTTTTTTCTCTTTACAATTAAACACGATGCACAAGATTAAAGAGAAACCACACTTAATCCTACTCCCTCTCTAGGTGCTCTCTACTTTCCTTCCCCACTATTCCCATTTACCTGATTCTTACTGGTTCACCTCCCATCACACCACTGACATGCCATTCCTCCCAACGCCAGCGTCTTGACCCATCTCGCAGACCCTGCCGGCACACTGGTGTGGCTCCTTGGCTCCCTGGCCTCCGTTCCGCTCCTGCTGTGAAAACCCCGCACACCCGGCCTGCTGGCAAGCTCCTGGGCCCCTGTGACTCTGTCGCGCGTGGTTCTGCCTCCGCTCCTGCTCTCCCAGCTCAGCTCATCACATCCACAGCGGTTTCAACCATCTCACCCTGGCTCACTCGGCTGGTACAGAAGCCCGACCGTCCCAGCGGCTCCAGGGGCCCTCAACAACAGCTCAGAAACCAGACTGGATGCTTACAGAGTGCTTGGGACAGGAAAGGAATTTCACACTGGCTCACCACCACTAATTAGTGGTCAAGCATCATGAAAATGGGTACGTGTTGCTTTCTGTAGGTTCCCGGTTCTGACTGTGAATATGAACCTCACTGCAAGGTAGGTGCGGCATGACAGGCAGACACGGAAAGAAGTTAGCAAACACTGGTGAGTGAGAACCCCGATGTGTTTTCTGGCAGATGTGAGTACCCTGAACCAGTGAAATATTCTCCTACTCCATCGAGCCTATTTGAACTACACATGTACAAATGATTTTGAAATCCAGGGGGACATAACGGCATTCACTCAGCAGAAGAACAAGTTCCAACTCTTTTCATTAATTGTTTTATTGTTAACCTAAGAGCAGAAATTTATCATTTCTGGGACAGAGTTTTGCTCTGGCTGCAAGGGTTTCCTCACAAGCTGTCACAATACCGTGGAACACATTGCAAATAAGATGAGGAAATAAGCTATGATTATTTTATGAACTTGCAGGGCCATAAAAAATAAATGAGCTCTAGAATAGCTTTCCTGAATTTCTTTTAATATATCAGGTGACACAAGAGACAATGCATGTTCCAGTTAGGATAAAAGTACAGAGGTGCTTTAGTGTAAGAAAACAGTACAAATTATACTTTCTTAAAATTAAACTTTGAATGCTTTTTTTTTTTGGTATGGGGGATCGAACTCGGGACCTTGTGCTTACGAGGCAGGCGAGGGACCACTGAGCTACATCCCTGGCCCTGAATGCTTTCAATACATCTCCCAATGTTTTTAGAAATTTCTTCTGCTGTCTGTGCAGTGAACATCTGCCAGCACCACAGTCACCTGGCATGATTCTCCAACAGGGACTCACTATGGCATGTCTTTAAACCTGGGCTGAACACCTGCAAAATCTACTTTTACTTCTGATCCCTTTATCACATCTCTGGGCCATTTACTATAAATCTACTAGAAAATAAAGAAAAAGTTTGAAAAAATAAACTACTGGGGCTGGAGATTTAGCTCAGTGGTTCTGCTGCCTGCCTCACAAGCACAAGATCCCGAGTTCGATCCCCGCTACCAAAATAAATAAATAAATAAACTACTTCTGTTCGGCCCACCTCTGAAACTTCTTCCTCCCTCCAGCATGCCTCCTGAGCACCCTCATGGCCCTCCCTTTTGGCCAGCCAGACAGCATATGCACACTAAGGGCTTTTGCGGCCCTGGGCCCTAAAATGGTGAACTCGAGAGCAGGGAATGCAGGAGCTTGGCTGAACCTGACAATTCAGAGTTGTGGAATGGAAAAACTATGAAGAGGGCCAGCAGGGGTGACCAACCCAGAATGGTGTTCTGAGGCCATACAGATCACATCCCAGGAGAGGAGAAGGGCAGGAAACAGGACCCAGAACACAGCTGTGCTGACTTCTAGCCCCTCATAGGCCCAGCCAAGAAGCAACCTCAGAGTTCAGGCTGTCCCACTTGAAAGTCCTTGCATTTACACCATTTCAAATGGGCTTGGCTGGGACAGAAGGATTGCAAATTTGAGGTCAGCCTGGACTATGTAGTAA